CAGGATCAGTTCTCCTTCCATCACCATATATTTGATCCCGTTTACCCTCATCTACCACCCCTTCCACCCCTACCCCCTGGTAACCACTAAATTATTGTCTGTGTCTATGAGTTTTTGTTTCTTAATTTATTTGTCTTGTTCCTTTGTTGATTTCAGCTTTATATCCAACATATCAGTGAAATCATATGTTTCTCAACTTTTTCTGTCTAACATCAGGTCAGGATCTCAACACCTGGAGCCTTATCACTATTAGTCTAAAGTAAGAATTTGTTACTTTTCCTCACTTCAATGGATGAGTCAGATATTATTTCTGCTCTCCATGCTTCTGGGGCTAAAGTCAGGTTTGCCACTCACTCCAGTGTTAGAGTGACACGATGTGCAACAATTTCTCCTGCCTTAGTAGTCATCCTACCTTCATATCTGATCTCTAAAGCTCCTTGTAGGCAAGCCAAACACACACACACACACACACACACACACACACACACACACACACACACTTCTTGGTATTTCCCATTATAAATTTTGGCTGTAAACAACTCACATTATAAATTTTACCATTAAGTTCACATGAACCAATGGGTTTTACAAGTGATAAAAATAAAATACTTCAAACTGAAATTTTCATACATTCAAATTCTGTTTTATTTCCTGTTACTATTGAATAGAGGTTTACAGTTAGAAAGGAAACTGTAAAGGTTTATTTAAAGGTGTTCTCTGTACTCACTGAATTTAGAATCCATCCTTATAATTAGTTGCTCAAGACTTCAGAAAAATTACCAAAGACCATGTCCCTGAGCAAGAGAAGCCATTCTAATTTCTCCTCTCCTGCTAGAGAATATTTTTTCCTCTTATAAAAATATCATAAAATATCTGTGGTCATGAAGATCTGCATTTTCTCATTTCAAAGTGCCAAATAGCATGTTTTTTAGTTAAAAATCAATATGTTGTTTTGAATAATTTACATAATTGCCTAGAGAGTAATGAAATTCAAGTTTGGGAGTATATTTAAATAACTAATCAGCAGTTTGCATTCATTCAGTCAGTATGACAAAGATATTATCTGTCCACAAAAATAAATAAATAAATAAATTATGTTCCCCCTTCTAGAATGTGGTAGATATTGCTCAGAGGTATCTTGTGAGTACATTTTACAGCATCAGTTTACATAAAGGTATAGTCATGTGACTAATCACACAAATAAAATACAACTAACATAATGCGTGTTACTTCTGGGCTTAGATCTTTTTTTTTTTTTAAGCAGTTATGCCTTCTTCACTCTGTCTCCCTCCACTCGTTGAACCCTCATGGATGATGGTAGTCACAAGATAGAAGAAACCTGAGTCCCTAAAACACCATGGAAGGCCACCATCAAGCAGTTAACACTCTCAGTGGACTGTTCCATGAATGACAAAGACAATTCTATAATGTTATGCTACTGAAATTTTAAGTCTCATTTTTTCAGGAGCTAGCAATACCCTAATTGAATACTCTAGCAAATAAATTTCTATCACTAGCATCCATTTTTATTATGTACAGAAAAAATATAATGTTTGGAAAAGCCAGATGAACCCTCAACTTCTTAATTAGGTATGGACACAATTAGAGCTCATCTAACCCTTATGAATACTGCTTGCTGCTACTATAACTATAGCTTCTTCTACTTGCCTTTCACATTTCAGTTCAAATACTTTGTTTTTGGAGAAGTCTTCCTTATTTCCCACCTAATTTAATTCTCCTTAGTAGCTACAATAGTGTCACACATCTATCCATAGTAGTTATTACAATGTCATTTTACATTTAATTTTTGTAATTATACAATTGATGCCTATTTTCCTTACTAGACTATAAGATTTTTAATTTCAGAAATAATGTCCTTTTGTTTTGCTCAGCACTGTGTCCACCATGTCTAGCACACAGCCCACACGTACCAGTCCCTAAATGCACATTTGTTAAATGGATATAATGAATAAACAGCTCAGTATGGTATTAAGACAAATGAAGACTAGAGAATGTAAAGAACTTGATGAAGGTACTTTTATGGAATTCAGATTTGTCACTTTTCTTTCAAGTTAATTACTAGTCTTTTAGTGCCTTGATGGAGAAAACAGTGAATTGGCTCCAGATAAATTGGCATTGTAGAAGATTAATCAACTCACAGTAATAAATTAACCATTTTATTCTTGACAAAGGACCATGCCCATAATCTCACTCACCAAAAGTTTCATGTTTTGCTCTGCTAAGAATCATAATCACTGGTGTCCACAATATCATAGTAATATCTGCTGATTTTATGACCTGTAAATTTTCCCCAGGATGTTAATCATTATGACATGTAAAAAAAAACACAACTTCACTAAGACCCTACTTTGTTCCATTTTTAGAGTGTTTTCCCTTATCTGGCCCTTTGAGGAAGAAGTATGACTCTCCTGAGAATGAGACTGAGAGAGGAACCTAAGCATATTCAATTCAGCCTTTTTTTCTCTCTCTCTGGACTCTTCCTGCAAAGAAGCAGGATGCACTGTGTACATCTGCTTCCAAAAAGTAAACACATCAGAATCAGTGCCTAGGTCGACATTCCAGAGATGTTTTTGGCTCATCTTACTTTTTCTACTTACCTTATGAAGATTTCATAGTTGTGAAGCAGGAATTCTGGGTAACCACATGCTATTCCTTAGACTGGGATATCTCTTACCTAGCCATACCTCTCCTAACTCATCTAGTTAGCTCTTAGTATTTTTAGATCTGAGTTCAATTATTACATCTTTAGAGAAGCCTTCCTAATACCCTCTTAATTCAATTTCTGGCCAGACCTCTGCCTCGATGTATGAGTTATATATTGCTGCATAACAAATTGCCCCAAAACTTAGTGGCTTAGAAGAACAAACATTATTACCTCACACAGTTTTTCAGAGTCAGGAATCTGAGATTAGCCTAACTGGGTGGTTCTGGCTCACGGTCTCCCATGAGGTTATAGTCAAAAAGTTAGTCGGCCTGTAGTCATCTGCAGGCTTGATGTGTGGGTTGAAGGTTGTCAGGAGCTCAGTTGAGCTGGAGAGAGATTGCTGAGCTATCAAGTATTGGAGTAGCCAATTAATGCAACAATCCAAGAATAAAAGAGTTCAGCCCTCAGTCACTTATTGAGATGGTACAAGCATGAGGCTAAAATCAGAGAAAGCACTGCCACCCCTTGTTCCATTTTCCCCCATGGAATGGTACACCAGTAAGGATCAGGTAGATCAACACAATAGTGGGGGCTGTTTCACTGTTGTGGGAGCCGCAAACAAAGGCTCTGGTGGTTTTATGAACCCTCAGAGGAAGACTGAGGGAGAAGGGTTAGGCATAAGAAAGTACTGAGTACTAAGTCAGAATAAAGTTATCTTCAAGGTTTCCTCCTCCTCCTCCTCCTCCTCCCAATAAGGAGGCCTCAGCAGAGGTACATGAAGACCTCTGCCAAGGCCTCAGAGATGAAGAGATCTTAGAAAGAAGGTGCCTCAGGGCTAGGAATGCAAATATGTGAAGAGTAAGACCAGCCAAGGAGCCTGAGTCCTTAACTGCAACTCCTTTCAGAGATTGCAGTGCACTGGCTGTACACCAGGTCTGGTATGGGGAGGTCAGCTTTCTCCCATGAGGCCTACTAGGTAAAGCCTTTTTAATTGCCTATGACCAGGCCTTAAAAGCCGCACATAAGCTTTTAACCAGTATCCAGGCTTCTCAGACTTTCTGCTTCCAAAATGGCTCCCTCACATACAATAGCTGTTGGCAGGAAGTCTCAGTGCCTTATCGCATGAACTTCGCCATAGGTGAGCTGAATGTCCTCATTACATGGCAGGTGCCTTCCCCAAAAGTGGGCAATCTAAGAGAAAGAACCAGGAGGGAGTCACGGTGCGTTTTATGACTGAGTGTCAAAAGTTCTACATCATCACTATTGCCATAGCTTCCTTTTCAGAAACAAGTCAAAAAATCTATCCACACTCAAGAGAGAATAATTAGATTCTGCTTTATGAAAAGAGAAATGTCAAAGAATCCATGTATCTATTTTAAAACAACAACACTTGAGTAGTTCATCTTTAGGCTTAGATTAAGAGCAATTTAAGAGGAATTCTGCCCCTGCTCACACATCTAAGCCACATAGCTTAGTTACCACTTTGACCTTCATTTATCCAACTGGATAATAGGGTTGATTTCAACCCTAGAAAGAGAAGAAGATATAATTGAATATCATCCTTAAGTCCTATTAGGCTGTTTCAAATACAGATTTTTTTAAACTATTAACTGATTTCACTTAATCTGTAAATTCACAAATCTATCAACTCAATGGTAGGAAAGAGATAAAATTATTCATGCATTCACTTGATTGATTGATTGATTACTTAAGATTATGGCAGATTCAGAGGTTCATTATAACAATCTAAATAAGATTACTTTCTCTAACATAACCAATATGAAATATCCACTACAGTTAATAATTCTAACAAAGATGGAAAGGCTACAATCAGAAATCTCAACCTAACAAAAAACACTGAGCATCAGCATTTTTTTCAACCATGTTTTCCACTGTCAAGACCACAAAAGTGAAATATTACAATTTACTCTTTTCACTGGAATGCTAGCAAACAAGTAAACTGAGGTTAATTTATTTATTACTCAAGGAAAGATGAAAGCAAACAGTCTTTGAGGGTTTGGAGTTGTGTTTTATTTAATGTTAGGAAATGCTAGGGAACTATCAGTTCCTTCCTACTTACAACTATTGTTGCAGTGTATTACTGGAACAAAAATTCAGTTTATAAACTCTGCTGAGGAAATAAAAGCAACTTTACATTGGTGGGGGCATTACTTTTTACATGGGATTTCCTGAACAACATTATGCAACACATCGTTACTTCAGATCCTCTTCCTGCATCTTTAAGTAACTAAACCAAGCAGAATACACTAAATCCCCTACAGATTTAGGGAAAACTACTGGCCTATGAGTGTCTCAATACTCTTCCAACATGCTGCTTTTTCTCTTAACTCTGCTACTCATTGTTCAAGAAATAACTTTTTTTCTGGCTCTCTTTGCTGTATAAAAATTAGAAATCTTAGAAGCTGAAACCAATTCTCAAGTCAGAAACATCATAGCTGTTGGTCTTCATGATTTCTTCATGCAGGCAATCTCTGTGTTTTCCACATCTGAGTTTTATCAAAGAAGGACGGTGGTCTACCTTGTTCATCACTGTCTCTTCAGGACCTTGCTAAATACTTGACTGGTTGGACTAAATAACTGTGGAAGAAATTAGTGAAGGCTGCTCTTCACAACAAAATCACTGACCTGCCATAAAAAGAGAAAGAGGTATGTTTACTATGGACTTCCCCTTGTAGGTGGGAGGAATTATTATACCTCAGACTGAGCTTTGAAAAAAATAAAAACTGCACCTTAATGACTGTGTAATTTTTAACTCTTTAAACTTTCAGGGCTGTTTTAATAATTATCTAATTAATGGACTTCAAAGCGTTTTGAAAATAGAAAGTTCCAGATACATACTGAACTTTAAAATGTTAAGTAATGAAAAATGTGTATACATTCAGACACTTGGTGAGCAGTAGGGGAAGAGTGATGAACTAGATTTAAACCCTAAGAGCTTGCATTTTAACAATGAGTAGCAATATTAAACAATTAATTATACAACCATTTATTGAATTCAACTGTGGTGGGTGAACATGGGGAGAGTAGAGTGGCTATGGCAGTGTATAACAGGAGGATCTGATCTAGTGGAGCAAGTCAGCGAAGACTTCCTTAAAAAAGTGGTATTTGAGCTGAGCTCTGAAAGGTAAATAGGAATTAATGGGTGGGCAGGGAAATCCTGAGAATAGAAGAGGATGTGAAAGAAGACGGTGTGACTGGAATTCAGAAAGCATATCAATGACCAATAATGATGCTGATAAGGGTAAAGCAATCTGAACAGATTTACTTTCTTAAAAAATTATTCTGGTTCCTGTTCTGAACAAGATGGTGTAGAATAATTTCTCCTGTGCTCTTTTATACATGTAATTAAATACTCAAGAAATTGTCCGTTGGACAATGATAAAACAGCCCTGAAAGAATGACAATAGAAAAAAGAAAGAAGACGGACTGCTAGGAGCCTTAGGGCATGAGTAAGGACTGCATGGTGAAATGTCCTAGGTTTTCTTTTTATCTGTCATACGCTCTCAGACTGGCCAGAGGAGCAGTCTAAAACCCAGAACCATCAACAGGCACAGGCAAAGCAAAAACAAACAAAAAGAAAAGTTTGTCCTATCTGGCCAAGGACTGGGAAAAGAGAACTCCAGCCCTGGCTTCACACCTGGACCTGGCAGTAGTCCGATCCACTGGCAGCTGGACCAGCAGAAAGCTCTAACCATCCCAGTTATCACTGCACAACGCTGCTTCCAGTGGCAGGCCAGTCCCTGGCAGGGCAGCATCAACAGAAGCATAATTCCCCCTGCCCTCCACCCAGAAGCACAGAAGGCCAGGCACAGTGGCTTCCACTCACCTATTCTATTACAGAAAATGGCCCAGTGACACCAGGGACCCAGGGAAGTGCCTTCCATATTTGCAGATGGCACCAGCAGAGATTGAGGGGGAATCTGTATTAGTTTGCTTGGGTTGCTATAACTAAATACCATGGGCTGGATGGCTTAAACAATAGACATTTGTTTCTCACAATGCTGGAGGCTGGAAATCCAAGATCAAGACGCTGGCAAGGTTCTATGGAGAACACATTAGTGGCTCCTTGGGACTAGATACAGGGGAAGGGAGGAGAATGGTTATAAAGGGTGCATGAGGGGGTACCGTGATGGTACAGTCTAGTATTTGGATTGTGATGGTGGTTACACAAGGTGACACATGATACAATTGCATCGAACTATACATGTACACAAACACAAGGGCATGAATAGCTGGTGAAATCTGAAGGAACTCTCTGGATTATATTAATGTCAGCTTCTTGGTTTTGACATTGCACCGTAGTTGTGTAAGGTGTTAGCACTGGGGGAGGCTGAGGGGAGGGTGCACACGACTTCCCTGTATACTTCTTTACAAGATCTTAGGAGTCTAATATTACTTCAAAATAAAAAGTTAAAAAAAATGATGTCTGGCTTCTATGTGAAAGTTAGACAAAAAGGGCGAGAACAAATGGGGGGACCCACAGTGGGTGGTTGGGGATTGTAACGTTGACCAGAATGATGGCAGCAGAGAAGGTGGTAGATGAATGGATTAAACATTTAGAAAGTATTGGTATAATATTAATAAAATGTAATAATTATTTGGATGTGGGGTGATGAAAAAGAGAAGGAAACACTGAGGACTCTGACCTATAAAGCTTGTGGATTTTGCTACCATTTGTTGAGATCAGATATAATGAAAGAAAACACATTTACTCTAAGTAAAGATAAATACTGTTTTGGATATGTTTATTTTGAAACATCTAGAAAGCATACTAGTATAAATTTTATTAGTTGACTGTATGGGCCAGTGTTCAGAAGTTAGGGTTAAAACACATAAGCCTAAATTGTCAGTGGAGAGATGACTCTGGGTGTGGCTATCCTAGGTTGCCTAGGAAAAGAAAACATGAAGTGATGAGTGAAGAAGATCTAAGATAAAACCTTAGGAAACTACATTGTTTAAATGTAAGGAAGTCAGAAAAAGGAGGATGAAATTGCAAAAGGAAACGAGAAAAGAGAGATCAGTAGAATAGGATATCAGAATATGTCAATTTAAATCAGACTGAACTCAGAAAATGTAAGATCTTCGATGGTTGCTTTAGTCATCAAACAGGGTAGAATTTGAGGACCATTAAGAAAAAGGGAAATATCTCCACAGTTGGAAAGGAATTGCCCATTTTCTTCTATTTTACTATAGGGCAACTTAGAGAAGAGGCTCTTCATGACTGAACTTGATGGTCCTGCATTGTATTACGCCCAGAAGAATGCTGCGATTAGACAGGGAAACGTCTGTGCTGCATCTCAAGGTTAGCATGAACCTTTTAAGTAGCACTTCACTGGCTCTTTTAGCTTTCCAGATCCTTCACGGGACTCCTACTTGGCTTAAGAAAAAAACAAGAGAAAACAGGACCTTATTTGTCTATAACCTTTTCCTGGAAGGGTCCTAAGTATTCTGGGGACTTCTTTCTATAAACAAGATAAATATCTAAAAACTCATATATAGAAATATGCTTATAAATATATGCCAGTTCTGCAGAAAACAAAATATACAGGCTGTACGTAGCTATTTTTAATGTCTTCTCATTAAATTCTCTTATACAGATATCACCATCCCCATCATTATCATCACCATAATAGCTTACATGTCTTGAGTGTTTACTCTGTTCCAGTGTTCCAGGTATTATACTAAATTTTTTAGATAACATTTGATTTAATCCTCAAAGATACCTGTTAGGTATTGTAAATATTTTTATCTTTATTTTACAGATGATAAAATAAAGACTTGGTGATTTGAAGTAACTCGCTCAAGTGCCCAGAGCTAGTTAAATGGCAAAGTAAGGATCCAAATATACATGCCCAATATCTTAAACATTATCCCACACTGCCTTTACCAGCATAAGTAAATAATGTGATATTGCATTGCTCTTGGCCTGATACACATTATTACAACTTTGAAGGAAAGATAATCACAAGAAGTATGTGTCAACGCTGTACAGAGATAGGGCACATCTGAAGCCTGCGATATCCACCACTTTTCCAGAGAACACATTAATTACAATTCAAAGTTCAAGGACTGCAGGAATGAAATGCGGAAATGATGCCTCTCATGAGTGTGGCTAAGAACAGAGATGTGATCCAGAGAATATGATCTGGAACTGAGTTCCCATTTTTCCAGCAGGAGAAACGGAGAACAAAGAGCCAGGGTGGAGATCGGTAGTAGAGCCTGAGGCTCAGCAGAGTGAGACCCTTCATCGATTTGCAAGAATCACACACAAAGAGAAGTCTTGTCTAAGTCAGCTTCTGCTTTTTCTTGGACAATGTTGCTCTTTACACCACTGGAAAGTGGGCACCTCAATTTCAAATGTAATAAGCCATACCCATGGCAGCAATGACACCTTTAGAATAAGCAAGACTATGGTTTTGCTTACAGAGATTAATTCTGCTTATTTAGAATCATATAAACATAATCTCTCCCCATCTTCACTGTGACCACACAGGGAAAATAATGTTAATTTTGAGTCCTTAAGAAAGTATTCCCTTAAAGTTTGATTTTTATTGCATATGATGTCTTTGAAATTAAAAAAACAAAAAATGTACTATAAATCAAATCTCATTTCTCCCTCATTATGACAGCAAATCATATTTCAAACTAAACAACTGATAGCTAACTTTTTATGTCAGATTCTAAACAGGAAAATAGAAACTAATTACTCATGATGAGGGATATTTAATGTAGGGAATTGATTATATAGGTAATGAAAGACTGAGGCTATTCAGAGATTAACAACAAAAGGAAGCCACCCATGAAATATATGGTTCAACATGAAATAATATTATTCTCAATCTAGAGCCAAAATCACACACAGTGGAATCTGGAACCTAGTAGACCTGATCGAAATAAACTGGAGTCACAGAGCTATACCACAGTATGCTGCACCGGTGAAATAGGACAGGAAGGAGTATCTTGATTTTTCCTTTGTTTACCCTCAAATATTCTGTGGGTGCCTCCCTTTAGCCAATCTCACTAAGATGCCAGCTGTCATGGCAGCTGGGGAATTGCAACCTGTAGGTGTCAGCTTCCCCGTGATATAGGAGAGAGCTGAGGAAGAAAGGATCTGAGGGAAAACATGTCCAGACAGGCACAAGCCATGGTAGCAAGCACTACACTTAACCAACCATATCGTACCATGTCACAGTATATATGATCAAAAATTAAGTCACAGGATTCAGAAGTACATGTTTGAGAAGATTTGGGCAAGTATAAAGCAAAAGATACAAGCTTTAGAAAAAGATCAGTAGTTCATCTAACAAGTATTTTATTGAGTAACTTTTGTGATTCTAATATTAGAGCTTGGGAATATAATATACAAGTAAAGAATAAATAGTAAACACAGAGTAAACAAGCTTGCTGCTTCGTGGATAGTGAAACCTTTGGGGAATATTTATTTTGCTACGCTCTGATTTATATCATAAATTCCCCTGGAGCTGATTTTATCCTCAACATTCAATTTATTGATTTTTAAGCTCATTTTCAAAGATGCATTGACTCAAACTGCATCAATGGCTTATGTTCACAAAGACAGTGAGTAGGAGAGAGAAAGGTATTGACAGCTAACTGCATAGTCCTTCTGTTCCTCCTCCATGTTATTCAAAAGATAAAGCTAACAGAATAACATATCTCTTATTCTACATGTGCCCATAAGCCTTCCTGGCACGATTTTATGACTTCTCTTCTATTTTTGGTCTGGCTTTGATGTTTATTATAATGAGCTCTACTCCTGTAAAGATATTTTGGTACTCAGTATATATTCTTTTGACGAATATATCATTTTGCTAAAATAGGATCGTTTGTGCTATATCATTTTATAACCTCATTTTTTACCTAACAATGTATTTTGGATACCCTTCCATGATAATATTATACAGATGTAGATATAGATATGTGTGTGTGTAATTACATAAACATATATATATATATATATATATATATATATATATATATGTCATCATAAGTTTAAATGGCTGCATATTTTGTTATTGTATGGATATGCCATCATTTAATAAAATCACTGTTGATAAGTTTGGCTCTAATTTTTTAATATTTTTACAACATTGTTATGAGCATCTTTAATCCTGCATGTTCATTCATTTGTGAAGTTCTTGCTGAGAATAAATTCCCAAAGGTGCAACTGCTAAGTCAAAAGGGTTTTATTAGTCAGTTTAGTCTACATTTTTCTACAGTAACAAACAACTCAAAGGATGCCAGTGGCTTATAACTCTTTATCTCTCGCTGACACAGACCAAGGACAGCCTCTCCCTGGGGTCCTGTGGGGGAAAAGAGATTCACAACTATGAGCTGATTCAGAAAACTCAGAAATATTCCACATCAATTCTACTCACAATTCACTGTCCAGAGCCAGCATAAATTCAAGAGGACAGAAAAGCAAAATCGTTTTGCAGAGAAAATCCCTAAAATATAATCCTTCCAGGGAAAAGGAGCAAGTATTTTAAACAATACTACCAGAGGTGCCCATAATGATGCATACTGCTATGATCACTACTGTTATTGTAAAAAAAGACACGGTTAAAATTTTGCCATAGACAGAAACAGAAATTCTGAAATAGAGAAACAGTACTAAATGTCCCAATCAATTCTTAGCAGATAATTTAAAGCCACGTTATGGAGAAGTAGCATAAATAAAACACCTTGTACATATAACTAACACAGGATAATCATGCCCATTTCCACTTGGCAAACAAACTCTGCTAAACATGACCACCACATAACTGCAATCCCAACATTGCATGACCACAGCCATCGTTTCAACCTCTAAATCATCATTGGCTTTTTGCCCACATTTACTCAGAAGAGATTTGATAGTGTGCAATAGAATTTAACTATGAAATAAGAGGTTTTCTACCCAATAAACCAAACTAACAATCTATTGCTATATTTGGATTTATAGCTCCTGGTCATCTTTTTCCTCTTGAAAAGATATGCAGATGACGTCAGAGTCAACTAGGTGAGATTGCTAAAATCATTAACAACTGATAGCCACACCTAAATGAATGTAGAGACATCTGGTCAGTAAAAGATAATTAAATAACCTAAGGTTTAAAATTAACCCACTCTGGGAAAAGAACTTTTCCTATTTACTTTTTAAAGGAAAACATAGAGATGAACAGAGAAAGCAAGAATGAAAAATAAGGGAAGTATGGCAGTTTTAGAAGTATATTAACAACTTGGTTTTTAATCCTGAGTTGCCACAGTTGTGGCTGACAATAGAGGGCGGCATAAATTTTGATGAACAGTAGACTACATATTTTCACATTAAAATAACCAAGGAGAAAGTTCTCTTCAAGTCTATGAAGGTTTATACAGAGAAAAAAGTGACTATCCTTGGGATCCAAGGGAAGTGGGGAATGGTTCGTACAGGAGAGGGTACAAGGAGTCTGCCAGGATAATCCCCCAAACTTATTTGAAATCATAACATTACCCTTCATTAAATTTCTTAATCTAAGCATTAAAAAAAAGTTACTATCTAAGAACAAGTGTGTGGATAATATACTCAGAGAAATCCTTTTGATTGAGTTTTTCCTTATAAACCATGGCTAAATCCTTTACCTTGAAGGCAGCTTAATACACAGCTTCCAAACCATCTTCCAACAGCCACCCCCAAGTGTATTGCTTCCAAAGACTGGAAGTGTGGGAATCCTAATTTTTTACCCCCATCCCCTATGGGTTCCAACTATTCAAGGACACTCCCCACCCGCACCCCCCCCACCACTCCACCCCCAAGGTTCCTAATGAGGAATCAAGCTGTGACATCACCATGCTTTCTGGTAAAACTGGAGTGAAAAATACAGCAGGGGCTCTACCTCTCACACCAAATACAACTTACTCCCCAGTTGCAGCCACAGATGTCTATGCCATGGACCTTCCAAACAGAAGGGGTTCAGACAAATTAGACCCTATCCCAGTGTGCTTTGCTTGAGAGCATGCGTGTATGTGTGTGTGTGTGTGTGTGTGTGTGTG